TTCCGGCAAATATCCAAAAAAAATCCTTCTGGTCCGGCTTTAAAGCAACTAGCGCTCTCTGTTCCGCGATGCAATATGAGGGCTCTCTACAGCTACCAAACAGCGTCCTTTTTTGCTCACCAGGGATCAAAATGCCACAGTTCCCAGTGAATGAAATAATGTGGGTTGATCGATGGGTTTTGAGGGCGAAAACGGCACGCGGTTGACCGGAAACCTCCCGACGTTGGTCAAGCGATCCGAAGCATTTCCCCTCAAACAACAACCTTGAAAACGAGTCACTAATCCCAGACGGTAGAGCAGCGAGGGGTGAGTACGGCAACCTAGGTAGCGGTGGGTTTCAAGAGGAGAGCCAGAAATGTAGGGTTCAACGGCAGATAACAGATTTGACGGGGGAATTAATTGTAGGGTAGACAAAAATAATAATATATATTTAACAAAAAAAAAATAAAAATAAAAATAAAAATAAGGAAAATAAAGAAAGGAAAAAAAAAAAATTGTGTAGTTGCAAGGAATCAGCCAAGAGAAACTTGGCTGCGGCTCGAGACGAGTCTTCCAAGGTCCAGATGTTGAGGTTTTGGTTTTTGGTTAATAAATTTTAGCGCTATAGTGCTCAAGACTGGGTTAAACTGGGGGAGCTTGTCTTTAACTGTCTTTGAGTTGGCTGTCTTATGTCGCCTGTTCTTCTGATCGGCTTTCCAAACCCCTAGAGGCTCGGAGCTACCAAGGCAGTTAGTTATGTTGGTTATTATTCCAAGGGTATTGTCTCATACAGGCATCAACCTCCAGCTACAATAACCAAGCAATAACCGTAAAATTGTTCGCAGTGGACAGCCCGCCAACACCAAGGCTTTTTTACACGTGTTTCCCCGTTTTCGAGGTTTAGACCCTCCAGCTGAGCATTTTTGGGTTAAGGCTTATCACATTTGGGTTGTTCAGCCTCCTCAGACTATTCCAGCAACCCGAATAACCAGCTAGTTACGACACATGAATATGCAGTAAAATTATACAGTAATGTACAGACAGCAACTGACACTCGCCATCCCACATTAATCATGTGAAGATTTTTCTCCTTCACCTTCTTCATCTCTAATGCCCTCCGCTGAAAGCTTGTCTCACTCAAATGTGGATCCTCTTCCTCATCCCGTCCCAGAGGATTTCGATATCACCTGCCACCGTATATCATCCATTTCATGCCCCCAGCCTTAACACAGCCACTCGATATTGGCCAATGACGCTTTGGTGCTGTTGATCTTCGATCTGAACAACCAGCCCTCCCGAAAGGCTTCAAATTCATGGGGGTCAAAACTCTATGTGGAGTTCTGAATAAAATCTTCAACCCTCTGCGTAAATGTTCCTTGGGTCATGACCTGGGACGGTCGACCTTTTCTTTGCTCCAAGCTAGCTACCTAGGTACTCACTCGCATTTGTGCCCTTTGGACGTATGCACTCATATCCTGGATCTAGCCGTTTTCAGAACGGTAATACAGAGGAACAAATCAAGCTGGCGACAACGCAGGACCTTCCGTTCAAGAAAGATATCTGATCCTCCATGATATAGGGAGCTATTATCAGTAGGAACCCAACTTTATTTATAGTCCTTGGAATCGGTACAAAGTATCTTGACGTAATATTTCGAGTCACAACCAATACCTAGGTTGGAGGAGAAGCTTTTGCGCACGGATAATTTTATTTTTATCCTATTACTCAGTCAAGTGACAAAGGACCAAATTATTTTTGTTGAAGCAAATATTCACGGGGCGGCGAGTCGCCCGGGAGTTTCTATGAATCCTTCTTTTCTCCTTTTCTTAGTCAATTTACGAACTTCTCGACCTACGATCGACCTCTTTACCAACAGAGCACGTACATATATCAACTACCCACCCCAATCTTCCATGGTGATTTTCCGCGGCATCCGTTCCTTAATTATTCGTAATAAAAAGATCGTCTTTCACCATAAAGTATCCAGCTAATATTAATGCCATAATCTCCACTTCGCCTCAGTGAAGATGATCCCACACAAGTCGCAATGCCTTCTCAAAATCCAAATTGGAAGCAAACGGGAAGATTAGCCATAATGCACTGGACGGGCGTTCACAATCTTCTAAGGTGAACCTTGGGAAGATTCCATGCGTCTCCTTTTGTTATGATACACTATGAATCGGAACTTGAGCGCGTTCCCCATGCCCTGATTATTTTCCAGTCTTGTTTCTAGTCATATATTAACGTAATTAATTCCCAAGCGAGCGATCCACTAAAATCGTGGACAACATGTTAATCGATTTTAACTTGAAATATGTATGCTCAACAACCACTAATTAAATTGAATTAAATTACACTAGGTTCTGAACATCTTGATCTTGTATGCCTGAGAGAACCGCAATTGCTGCACAGTGGTGGAGCTCACGAGCGGAGCATAGGCTCGGGGGATGGAGGCTCGCGGGATTGAATGATGGGTTGTTCAACAGGCTCAGAAGGTGGAATAAGAAGATCCTGATCTTCTTGCCTGGTTAAACCCTTCTCAGATTGAACCCTGTGTGTAGATCTTTTTATGTTTTTACTTCACTTTCTCATTTGCAATGAATATATTCTGATATTACTTTTTCATAATAATGATATAGATCATTTCATATTGATAACCTTTTGATAATTTGATCAAAGTCCTTTTCAAGCTCTAAGAGGGGCTTTTAAAACTTTATTTTATCAGGATTTTAGTTATATATATACCTATCTATATAATTGACAAAGTTGCTAAGTTTTTATAGAGTTTAGAACATTTAAGAGTTGCTAAATTAACTAGTTATCTGAAAGAGTAAAAGTTCAGCAACGCTAAACATTTAACTGTTAAATATTTTAATTTTATTTAAATAGAGCAAGTTCAATAGTTATAAACTTATTTTAAATGATTTAAAGATCTTTGTATATGTTGTAAAGTAAATGAAGCGGCGCCGGGACAAGGAGTTGACAGCGACGTCACGTAAAGATGATTATATGGGAAATTGAATGAGTGGGCTTGATTAGTTAAGAAAGCAGATGAGTGTATGCCTACAAATAGAAGAGATAACTAAAATTGAGGATAGAAGTGACTATATGAAGATTTGTGCTGATATATTGAGAATGAACAGTCAGGCAGATAGCTATTTATATTGAGCTTCTATCAAACTTTTACTTTTCATGAAATGTGATGAGATGCTGTTCTATCTGATTAGAGGGGGTAAGAGCGTCTTCTAAATGAGTGATGTAATTCTCATAACCTTCTGCATTGATGATTTATACAATTATCTTGTATAAAGATGGAGAAGTATGAATGTCATGTAGAGAAGAGAGCAGTGCCAAGAAAATACCTTGACAAGATCTCTAACTATGATAATATCTAAGAAATTTGCCTTTTAATAATTTAAATCATATTTAACTAAGTCTTCATAAGTTTAATTTGAAACTGTAAAAATATTTATATTTGATAATTATAATAGATTTAAAAAATATACTAATAAATAGAAACTAATAATTATTTTTTTTTTCATAATTTTAAATAAATTCTACAATAAAATAACTTTTAAGAAATAAATATATATCAACTTTATATAAATTTACAATTATAAAATAAATAGTTTATAAATTATTTAATTTTTATACTAACTATCTATAATTTAATTAAAATCAATATTAAGTCAGTTACTTCATAAGTTTATTAAAAAATATTTAAAATTTTTAATTTTTGTGAATGATATATAAGAATAAAATTTATTTGATAGTTATATTAACTGATTCAATCATTATGACTCATTTTTAATTTTTAAACTAAAAGCTTTACTTAATTATAATATTTAATACTAATGATAATTTTAATCATTTTACAAAGTTATTATAAATTTAATCTTATCAAAATCATAGATATTCTCAAATTGAAGTTATATTTAATAATTATCTTTGTTAAGATTTTATATTAATTCTTTATAATTCTTTATTTAAATCTTTACACTAAGCTTATTTAGAATTATAGTATCTAAAATAATGACATTAAACTCCGAGTCACTAAACTTGATACTTTTTGGTGAGATGAGGTGTGTATGATTTCATCATGAGAGAAAATAGTTGATCATATTCTCCACAAATGCTGGCTTGAAGAAGTAATTCTCATTTAGTTAAATTCAGCATTCATTGAACAAGCATGTTTTCTTCGACTGAAGGTAATTTATATATGAATTTGCGTGTAAATTCACCTGTGCAGGCCAATCACTAAGTCTATGACGTAGGATAACATTTGAAACTTCAAATCGGTGTGCAGCTTTTGTGAATTGAGGCTATTTTTAAAGCAAGGATTGCACACTCTATTCTTCCCTCTCTCAAAAGAGAATCTGAGGATTTCTTAATTTGAATTGGTGGCATAATTACTTGTTAGGTAGTAGCGGGTTTTGAATTAGTAGATAAAAAAATTGTGTGGTTCTCTCGGTTGGGAATTAACTACGTTATTTAGTATGACTATCTGGACAATGAATGGTAACTAAGTAGAGAATTAACTCGGTGGGAAGGGGAAATGCCGTCTCGAGCGGCTCCCTCGCACAATGGTAACGGGCCGGAAACATCAAAAAAGAAAACAAGGAAAAATCTTATCGACTCTCCGTCAAACTCCGAAATGTTTCTTTGTTGATTCTTCCTAATCCAGGAGGGCAGTGATGACCCAACAGGATGTTAGTTATACGACTGGTTGGTGAAAAGTCCAAGGAATAATGGATATATGCATGTCCGTGAGTATGGCCGCCAGAAATACCACCCACCAAACAAGAGCTTATGACAGAATTTTGAGGCTTTCCCAATGCACGGTTGCCTTAGCAAACGAAATAATATTCTCTACTTCAATATATGTGTATACGGTACATTCTAGGTATCCTTATCCTTACGCCCACGGTCTTATCCCACTGCCCACTCACTTTAAAAAAGGCTCGACAGCTGCATAATTTGTTCCAGGCCCAGCAAATGCCCCCATCAGCTTGAATCCAGCTTTATTCAGCAGGATCTTCGATTGCTTCTCTGTAAGCTTTGTCGTTCAACGTCATGATGGTTAGATCCATCCATGCATCTTCTGTATCTGCAACTTTTTCGGGCACGATGTCATCTGCAATGACAACCCGACGAGTCTTGTCTGTGATACTTGATGCGATGTCGCCCAGGAATTCGACACAGATGGCCTCGGGCCAGTCGTGGAATATGCGGTGAAGGTAGGAGACTGTGGCATCTATTATTCCATACACATTTTTAACGATCATAGGGTAAAAGATAGGTGAAAAGAGAAGGGAATTCAATAAGGCCAGTGAACGCACTCTTGATAGGCTGCATATTGAAAAAGCAGTATGTTTGACGCTCAATCCTGGGCAGGTCCTCGGTGATATCGTCTACAACAATCTTCGTTGCTGAAGAATGAATCGGCCCTTGGTGCCCTCACTAGTGTAGCGCTTTATCTGGCTAATCGCGTGGCCCTTCTCTTCTCCAATATCGACCACCAGTGGTATATCATCTGCGGTTTCCAGCCGTTTTCCCTGAAAATTTTATAGAATTGGAGTTCGCCAGATTGGTACTCGTCGACACTTGGTTCGTAAGAGGTCATTATAGGCTGCCCTGCCACTATGAGGACACAGCGATTTTGGGGATCTTACAGGAGTTTGAAGATACCGTTCAATTGTGAAACGAGGTAGATAAGGGATGTGTGTGGTTTTTCTTCTACCCTGACCTCTTTGAATGGTTCCCAATATTGTCGCCATTCTCATCGGACGGATTTGTCACTGCCTCGTCAGTGTGCTGAAGGTGTTGATGTATTGCAGGGATGCACTTTGGATACAAAATTACACACTGATCAGTTCCTTCTCCGCTTTCAGTTCTATAGACAAGGACTTCTCCGCAGTCTTGGTTGAGCCATCTTTTGGGAGGTGTGTAAAATACCTTTTTCTAGCAGGGCTCGAACGGCACCCGTGTGAGCCACTTACAGGTATCGTCATGATGGTCATTATTTTGTATGGGGAGGAAGACGGAAGTTCAAAAGAAAACCATACATTCTCAAAAATGACAAAAGAGGGTATCAACGTGCTCCTTGGAGTTTATGGGCTTCATAAACTGCATCTGTATAAACGCTGCTCTGCTTCCTGCTCTTCCGTGATCGTCAACTCTTTGCCAAGAAGAGATGCGGAGAGATCATAGTGCACTTCCACCTTGGAAGTGACGTGCGACACACGTTCTACTGCGTTGCTGCTTCTGGGATGTTTGAGCCATCCTTGCCCTACTCGCTAACTATCTGCCTGCCTGGGGTATAAAATCGATATTGTGATAAAAATTCTCGTGAACCTTTAATCTGCAGGGGTTTCAACAGTAGATACAAGAAAACGAAAAGAATAAATAAAACAACAATAGAACTTGAAAGAAAACTAGAAGGATATTAAGAACCCCCTCCCAGGACGACAGAAATCGGGAATTAGAACGGCGTATGCAAATTCCCAATGGTATGTTGCCCATGGTCCTATTTGTGAGGTGAAGTTATGTTGAATCCATGGGCTACTATCAATTCAAATCCCGATGAAATTGGCTACTAATAGTAATCCACGACATTTCTAAATACAAGTGGGACTGCTTGCCACTATGCAGGGGCAACTGACACATCATGCAGATGGCGACGACGGAAACAAACCAGCAGATTCCCTGAGGTGAGGGATAAGCCATTTTTCCGTAGGAAAAACATGGGCTTTAAAGAATATTACAGAAAGCAGTGAGAGATGTATATTACTAGTCCGGAGAGTAGAGCTGAGATACACGACAAAGTTGTTGGCCCCACTGGTCCAGAATTTATCTGGCGTGAAATATGGCCAGGGTTTACCGTGGGCTGTTTTAATTGGAACCCAAAAGCCGCGTCTGGAGTTAACAAAAGATGAAACACGGTGGCACTCGCATTGCTCCAATATCCGCTGCTGCACTTATGAACGATTAGCGTGTTGTTTTCAACCTGTAACTTGCTACAGCGGCTAATGCGCCCGTGGAACCCGCCCCTGATAACTCCACAGCCTACAAGTGCTTCGCCACAAGTCTGTTCCAGTCACCAGATGAGAGAATCTCTCTTGGTGAATGGTGTTTTTATCTCTTCCTTTTTTTTGGGGGGAGGGGAAAATATCCGGGGTGGAAATGAATCTCGCGGAGCACAGCTTGGGGTGGATTTGTTAAATTTGAAGTATTTTAAACACGGAGAATAAGAAAATAAGAACATAAGCGTCATCTGACATCCACGTTTTGGTAATGGCGGGCTTTGCTTACCACGGGATACGGAAAGGTTGGCCCACAATGTGGGTGAATAATTTTTTCAGCATTCTCGTACTTCGTATTTTCAGGTCTGACTCGTTTTGTAGAATATTGCTGATGAGAAGCTGTCTCTGCGTATTCGGATCGCGTGGCACTGCACGACCGGTTTGGCTGCATCAGCGCAGGACAGTGAGTGTTCCTCTTGCCACCATGCTGACCAGCCTTTATTAAACAACAGTCCGTGCCTTTCCAGCACCCTTGCTACGGAAAGTAAAGATGCACACTGTAGAATTCAAGCATCCTAACATCACGGTGGGGGGAATTACGCGTTGTGAGGTTCAACTCCATCGGCTTCCTGAAGGAATCGTACGGAGTATAACAACTGTAGATCCGACCGTTGTCCACGGCCGCATTGTTTTTTGCGAGCAACGTTGTTCCAAGGCCTTTAAAAGTAAATGACAACAGCGCCCCGTCAGGGCTAGCTATACCGTCAGTCACTGGGATGACCAACACGCAGCAAGTTTTTCCTGTTGTGTTCTCAACCGTTGTTTCCTCCATGTATATCTGCTCTCGTGTATCCAAGATGGAAACATGGAATGCTTGTCTTTTTACTTTATATAGACCGATGCCTCCCTGACTTCCCCTGATGATGTGTTGTGGGTGATATTCGATCCTTCTGAAAACCGGGCCATACGTGCATATTCACCTGCCAAATCAATTTGTACGGTCTTCTTGTTGTACCTCGCAAAATGGTTTTCACTGAGGCAACCCGAGCCTACAACTCGGCTGCTATGTCATTTTCGGGATTTCTGTGATAGTTATCTCATTGAGGTAAGGAGAGACTAATCCCTCAGATCTCGCAAGGTCTTGTTTTCAACTGAGTTGACTTGCGAATTTCTTTTTGAATATTGCCGGTTCTATGCAAAGTCTTTTCTGGTAGGCTGAGTTTGGGGTCGACAACGTCCTCATATTTGGCACCGTTGTGAGTCTCCGCTCCACTGCCAATAGGTTGGCTGCTGTGTTGGGCGATTCGGGTTTCTCTTTTTTGCTTTTCTTTTCTTCTTCTTCTTCTTCTTCTTCTTTTTTTTTTTTTTTTTCAACTCTTACTGATGAATTCGTTCATTTAGAAGTTGGCCGCCTTTGGCATAACTGTGACGCTTCCGGGCATGTCCCTTCTCTTCTAGGAATTTGTCGCCGCATGGCTGAGCTGTCAACACATAAAACTTTATATCGGAAAACAGCGACATATGTATACTTACTAACATCCCTCTCTTGTAGTGGGCGTGGGAGTCGCAAATTCTCTACCATGTAGGTCTTGGGTGTGTTCACCAACTTTCCCCCCTTTTCATTTCACCGGCAAGAGCGTGGATAACCTAACGCATGGACAGATTCCCAAATCCAGCATGGTGCTCCTCTACGTCCGACTAGCTTCGAATCCGACGCAAATGAAGTGCCTGTATGCCATTGGGAGCAGCGTCTTTCTCCAAGGAGTTGCAGCAACTCTTGTTGTTTTCATTCCCTTTCATGGACCTCCCGACAAAAGATAGGAATAAAACGGGATGCATAAATACTGACTTGCCGAAGACAACAAACTTCATATGCGCGCCTATCTCGGTCATGTGAAGCTCAACGTTCCCGGTTGTGTGCGTCGATATATTGGGTTTCAATTATTTCAACTCCACGTTCCACATTGTGGCCGATATACTGCTCGCAGTTCTTCCCGATTCCCATTCTGAAGACAATCCAAATTACTCATCGACGGAAGAGTAGGTAATACGTAAATCCCCCCCTGAATGATGAAATGTCAAAATGTTAGCGAGCGACGCTGTCAAACGTGATATTGTAGTTGGCTTGATCTTCTGCTTCGGCGTTGGTATTCTGACACTCTGCACCACGATAACAAGACGAGTAACCCATACGATCACCCTCAGCAACCCACTTGAATTTTTCGTGGCGTGTACCTCTCCAAGTTGTCCGTTATCTTTTCTTTCCAAAAGCAGAGGAAGAGCCATTTCTGCCGTTGCTCCGTCTTAACAATGAAATAAAAATGAAAAATCAAAAACAACACAACAGCAGGCACTCCTCCGCCGAAGAACTCTGCACTTCCCTTGAAGTTTTCGTGAGCACAATCTGCGCCTCAGTCCCAACCATGCGTTCAATCATCAAAATGCATATGGGGGGCAGCGGTGCGGATCGTGGGCCCAGCTATGAGGCAGACAAAAATTCTGACAGCAATCGCGGACAAGCATTGACGCTCAACAACGGATGGAGAAAAACCACGGCGAGACCTCAATAGCCTGCAGAGGGCGGATAAGAGCTGGAAGACGCACTTAGCAAGTCTAGAAGCTCAGATGATAGTGAAGTGGCTATTATCACACCAGAGGAGTATCGACAACGGCAGCAACAGGATCAATGGCAACAAAAAAAAAAGCGTAACGGCGTGGTGATGAGGTCCACTGAATCTAGCGTTACATACCAACTGCGTGAGGGGGATGGAAGTGGATGTGAGTATGAGCAGGTGAATGGACCTGGGCATTGAAGAACAACATTCAAGTGACCCATGGATATTTCTGGGTATATTCGACGATAAGGGAAACACAGCCAGAATGTATGTATAGAATGGTTCCAGATATAACGATCGATTTATTTGCATAAAAATTCTGAGCAGAGATTGTATTAGCACGTAGAAGAATTCGTAATCTATTCTTAGGTTTGAAAAATGGAAGAATGATGGAGCTTTGACAGTTGACACATGGCATTTCGCTGCAAAATAATGAAGGGGTTCTGCCTTGGATGCTATACATATTATACCGGAAGATCAAGCGTGCCCTCTGTAATGCGCCATTGATGAAACGCATTGATGTAGCATACCAGGTTTGCAATAACAGACATAGAGACGAGCACCTGCAAGGAACAAGAGGAATTTAATTACAAATTTTGCAACGTTAGGAGGCCCGTTGAATGCTATTTATTCTTCCTCTGCTCAGACTTGTTCATGCACTTAACCCTCCGTGATTTTGATTGCCGGGTTGGAACCCATGGATGACCCTGTTTTTTCATCACCGCTTAACGAGCCACTAAACCCCCTCCCTAATCCTTAATTAAAACATAGGGGTCTAGGGCTGACCTCGTCCCATGGTTAGCAAGGTCTCTCTGTCTGGCACCCCCGCTGTCCAGTCCAACAACAGAGTTTTAGCAGCTGTTTAGCAGCACTTAAGCAGCACCGTGCCTTATCCTCTGGGCCCCGCCATTGGCTCTAGTGGTGTTGCTCCTTTTGCTGTCCCAAACACAATCTCCATCACTAATTCGCCCAACTGGACACTCTCTCAATCCACACCAGCTCCACTTTTTCTCAAGTGGTTTCGTATTGCCTGTCGAGCTCACCTGAGGCACCACTTCTCCTCTCCTTCGTAATTCTGTTCGCGATGTACCTAGGCGCAAGTACATACAATCTGGTCTAATCTCGTTTTCTCCCTGCCACGCTGCATTCAGGAACTGCAGTGTTTGTTCTATTCGCATCTCTAATCGTTTTTCTTATTCTCTTCTCTTTCACCTTTTTTTTTTTTTTTTTTTTTTTTTTTTTTTTTTTTTTTTTCTTTCTCTCCAGCCACAACTTTCGCCTTGCTGACCTTGAAAATTTAAATACCCCCTGTCAATCTTGTTGTCAATTTTACTATTTCATCAAGCCTGTTCTACACGTGAGACCTGCTTATCCAACTCCATTCGCTCACAGGGGGTTGTAAACAACGACATTGTGCACGCTTTTCGCCGACCACTCTAGTCCTTCGACTCTGTATTATTTCCTCCGATGTTTGTTCATCCACATCCAATCCTGCCTGTGGGAGTTTGCGTAGTTGTTGCTGTCTCCGCTGCCGCTACTGCTACCGTCTTCGAGCATGGTCGTAGAAACCTCAGAGGACAGCCCCTTTGCCGGTGCTGAATCCAAGGCACGCAAATGGCGCGGCAAACTGTTCTTTAAAGACAAGGGCCCCAAGTTCTCTCGAGATGAACAGGTCGATGACTTCCTGGGCTCCCACCGCTCCCCGTCCTGTCAATCCCTCTCTAACTCCTTCCCACCTCCGCTACGACCCTCCCAACAACACCAAAACCAGCCGCAATATCATCACCAAACCAACCCTCATGTCAATGTCTCCGTTTCACATAAATGGCCAGATTTAAGCGATTCCTTGGCTTGCTCCGATACCCAAACCTCAAAAATTTCCAATTCGATATACCCGCCCAAGAAGCAAGGCCGTAAAGGTTTAAAGGTGACCTTTAGCAGCAATGGGCCTGACATTATCGGGGAAGGGGGCGATGAAGCTGATCTGCCTACAAAAGATGTTCTTCTATATCGATCCAGGTCGCAGTCTACCACTTCATATGCCACAAATGGGTCATATTCTCAATCGGAGAATGATGACCCCTACGAGTCACTATCAGATTCCAAGGACACATCTTATATGGGTGGAAGTTATAACGGCCAAAAACCTCCGGATGAACCAAGGGAGAAACCCATACTGCTGAAGAATGTCCATCAAGCCGACTTCTTTCTATCCCTTGGTATCGAGAATACCACTGGATCTCGGCTGTCATTCCGGGAAGACGGCGACCCAAACTCCTTTGCCCGCCGTGTTCAGGCGAAGATGCGGGCAGAAGAAGGCATAGCACTGCAGAAGGCACGGTCTGATTCTCCTACGAGTCCTGCAAAGCCCGAATTAAGAAGCCCGACGTCACAAGAGGGTGGCCTCCCGCTCCTACTACGCCCGTCCACGAATCCTACTCTAAATCAATCTCAGGAAGAAAGCGAGTGCACCTTTAGTAGAGACAGTTTCTGGGGTGACTTTTTATCCTCTTTGCCCGGCGCAATTCAATCCACTGGTGATAATAATTCGTCGAATGTTCGAACAACCGTATCAACAAATATTACCGATTCATCGTCACATCCAAATACTCCACCCCCACCATATCTAAAATCCTCACACGCACAACTGCAACCTGAACCCAAACAAAAACTCAGAGAAGCCCCACCTAATACTGATGGCCCTCAACGAACGAATGAGAGAGGCCCAGCTTCTTCAAGGTGGAGGAACGTTGCTAATGTGGTTAGCAATGACACACTGTCTGATTTTACCACATGGGCTTCACTCTATAACGATATATTTAGCAATGCTGCCGAAAGCGTCAAGCCGTCTATGGAAACATCCTTGACAGAGTGGGTTAGGGCGAGCGTATGGTGGTTCTTAAAGGGCAGGGCTGATGTTGATGCGTCCATACGTCAGCAGTCATCAAGCGGTGGGAGGAATTCTCCACCCAATGTTGATCAGACCCGACAGGGCGTGCTTAATTTGGCAAAAGCTTGGTGGATTAACCAACATATTGTTCCTCAACATCCTGAGCTATCTCGATTCGGAAATGTGAGCATGGAGACCATTGGTGCTGTAGTCATAACTGCTGGCGACCAGAGGCTGAGGAGTCTAATGAATGTCCACCAGGCGATTCTCAGCAACCTACGTGCGCTGGCTATGTCGATGAAGCGGAACAATATCCTTGCAACAGCCATGGAACAAGTGGAGCTTTCTCGAGGAACTGATGCATCCATATGGGTACGATATCCTTTCTTTGCGCCCGACATATCCGCTGTTCTCTCTGGTCAGGTAACGCGGTCAATGCTGGTGGATACAGCACGAAAGGCAGCTGAAATTGCCGATGTTATGCCGTTGGGAGATTCGAGCCGCTCTTTCAGCTATGGGAGGATGTTTGTGCAGGCATACCTGAGTTCCAGTGAAGATGACTCCCAACAATACCCGATCCCTTGTGTACTATCGATTATCCGAGATCGAACTGATTGGAATGTAATCGCATCAATCACGAGCCAAAACGAGCTTGTCAACCTCACAATACAGGGGGATAAGAAGCTAGGCCCCACATGGGCCGATGTAGAATGGCAAGTAAGAAGTTTATCAATGCGAGTACGCCTCCCGCGCGGATTTGAATTGGAGGTCCAGTTCGAGCAACCGGACTTTAAAATGATATGGCAGATTGTGGAATATACCCGTAAAACAGAAGAGGCCCTAGAGCCGGCAGCGGGTGAAACACTTCTGTTCGAGGACGTTTTGAAAGTTTTTCAATATATGGATTCGAACCCCACCAAAGCATTCCCCCCAGAACCCAGCCCGCGATGTCGAATACGCCTTTTTGAAAAATCTGTGACGCTCTCGGAAGGCACTGGCACACGCAAGGCACATAGGGGTTTCCGGTTTATCGCCGTGTCGAGTCCGAAAGTGAAGACGCTCAGCAGTGTCACTCATGAAATGGGTAACGGCACACCAATTGTCTTCGGCTATCTACGAGGCGAAGATGGCGCACCAGCTTTACTCTTAAAAATACAGGAACCGGGCAACAGCGCTGCAAACCGCTCCATGCTGTTAACATTTCACGAGCAAGAAGAACGTGCCAAGATGCACTCTTTGCTGCTTGGTATCGCGCCGCTAGAAGGGGAGGTGAAGACTCCTGACATCCCCATGCGGTCATACTCGATAGAACAGCCCGCAGATAATGGACAGGGACTTCCATTCTCCCAGCCCTCTTCTCTACTACAATTTTCCGCACCGTCTGTGGCGGTAATAAATAACAACCCTATCAATCCCAAGCATCCATACAGTCCTACGGTACTGTCTGAACATCTTCGCATTTTCGTAACGTCAAACTGGGGTTCGGCGACTGATAGGATCAATATTGGTACGTGAGAAAGGCGCAGAGGGTGCACAATCCTATGGGATGCACAATCGTGGTTTGAGCAGGCTTGCTGATTCGTATATTCTATTTGTTTTCAACGTAGGTCCTGGGGAGCTTAAAATTTCCCTCGATGTCAATAATCCTACTGCGATGAGTATTCTTAGGCCACCCCACCAGGATTTGGGGATTTCTGTGGCGGAAAATTTGGTGCCCCCAGGAAACCACAGGTAATATGACAAAGCTTTTAAAGACATCTCAAACAACACCAATCATTCGACGGTATAATTTTACCGCATTACGAGGTTAGATGAATTTTATCCCTCTCCTCTTGCCCCCTTTCTTGCGCTTGAAGCGATGTTAATATATTTCTATTTTTTATAGATCTTCACATGTTCCAGCAAGCCATCACGAACTTTAGAGTACTTTTTGACGGGTAAGCCATCAATGAGCCCAGACTTTTTTATTCCCGTATTTCGTAACACTCTTCTACTAACACACAATATCTTTTCTCTTCCAATTACTAGCTTCGCCTCCCTGTTCACAATCTCCCGCCGTCGAATGGTAGTCCCCATCTACAAAAAATGGGAAGCAACAAAAGTCCGCATTCAAATTCTCAAACAGGAGAAAATTGTACAACTTGTGGCCTTCTTCCATGACTTCAGCCACGGGCAGTGCATGAACTTTGTCCTCAAGAGCACAGATGTATTCGAAAGCTTTAACCATCGTTCTGGTAAATTTGGTGTCAAAATTGTCGATGCCAAGTTCGCCTTGCCCAAGCCGGACAACGATGCTGCTGCGGGCTTTGTATGTCTAGACATGCCTGAGTATCCCGGGGAACATGATGATATTACGATTGCCTTTGATTCAGAGAATGGTAAGATTTCATTAACTTTTTCCCATCCCGTCCTTTTTGTTTTTCTATTCGATATTGTCTTTATAATATACTCTTTATTCCGTCCGTCACTTTTCCAACATGCTGATGTATTTCATTTTTATGTATTATGCAGATAGAGCGGCTTTTCAAATGGTCATACCTGGCCCAGTCAAGGAGCCATCTAAGATGGGATCGCTTCGGAAATGAGTAGACACGTTTCTTCTATCTATGTATTAACGATACATACCCATACTTCCTTGCACTAGTTACTCTTCCTACTCTACTAGCTAACTCTCTGTACGGCGTTTTTTTAGCGTGTTTTGGCGTTTTTCAAAAGGGCTTTCTCCTCCTATTTGCCCCCTTTGTTACCTCTTTCATATAGCGGGGTTCTGGCGATGCGTTTGACTTTTTCGTTGCCCTGTTCTCTTCTGATTTTCTGTCGCCTTGATCTCGTGTATACCTGGTTGTTTACTCAGAGACCGAAGGGGGTAGGCTGGGATTGACAGTTCAGCTTCATTTCTAGTTTTGCATTATTGAAGACTGTGGAAGAAATTGTTGTACCATCCATGTCTTCCTCCTGTCAGAGGCGGAGTAAATATCATGAAGCCCTTTTCTCACATTGCCATTGGAGGTGTGTTCTTCCCTTTTATTCATTTGCTTATTTTCGTTGGATATGTTTATGATGTTAAGTCTTGAGTATGAAATGATGAATAAATGACTGCCTCGTTATCCCAACGGTATTGGGATATATATCTAGCTCCACATAACAAGGCACCTGAAGGGGAAAACAATGTGACATCTTACTACTGGCATTGACTTGGGAACTCAGTCTGACGTTTGATTCCATGATTATCCTTTAGTGGGATAAGGTAATTGACAGGCGTCCTCAAAGCGAAGGGCCTCGGCTGTCATTACGTTTATGGATTCTTGAAGAAACTAATCCACTTTCCTCTGTTTATTTCTCATCTATTTGAACAATCCGTGGAATTGCGTGGTTGTGGAGCGTACAGTTGAGGGCGTACAATTGAACACATGGTTTAAAATCCCAGCTTAAAAAAACTTTTGTGTGGTTTATGAATAAACCATGAAACCTACACCTCAAACATGTCTCGCACACATTCTCAATATGCTTTTGATGGTAGTGATTTTATCATATTTCTCAAGGTCCTTATCCTTAACTAACTCTAATCACAACCCCTAATCCCAATTCTAACCTACCCCTAACCCCGGTGTTGAGGAGGAGGAATAGAGATGCATTAGTAGTGAAGTATGCATGTAGGCTTTTTAATTTAGATGTTGGGATCAAATTTGATCATGGTTGTTTTAAAAATGGAACCAACTTATAGTTAGTTAAGCCACCTGAAACTTTTTTCAAATCTCATTCAACCGTAACCTGCGACGTATGCATAGTGAAGTTGAAGGCTGATAAGGAATTTCCATATGCAGAAGTGCATTGATTTTAGACAACTAACTATATTCAATTGTCATTTGTCACTTACTCAATGAGCTTATTTTTATACTCTCATTCATTAAACTTTCACTTCTTGCTAAAAATGCTTAGTAGAAGTTATATTAATATTTAATTAACTAAAAAAATTAATTTTTAAATATATTATTATTATTATTATTATTATTATATAATTATAAAATTTTATTCTAAAATAATATAATTATTTAAATAATTTTATAATAAATGATAAATTTATATAATTTTAATTTAATTAAATAAATAAATTAATAAATAAAAGATAATATATTTCAATTTTATATAATTATTTATATTAATTTATAAAATTACTTTTTTAGTAAAATTTTAAAAAAATTATAATAAATCTATATTAATAAATATTTTAAAGTTAATTAAAAACTTTATAATAAAAATAAAATCAAAAAAATATTTAATTAAATAAAAATAGTTTTTAATTAAAAAATTATTATTTCAATAATAGAAAATTATATAAATAAAATAAAGATATTATTTTAATATTATAAAAGTTAATATATAATTTATATAAAAATAAAATTTAAATATTAAAAAAAATTAATATATAATTTTTTATAATAATTTTATTTTTATTAAAAAAACTAAATCTAATTCTTATTAAATAAATTTAAACTTTTATTCTAATTTTATTTTTTATTTTAAATTTTAAGCTACTAATTAAAATTTTATTTTTATAAAATAATAATTTTTTTAATAATAAGTTTTTTTATTAATATGAATTATTTATTTAAAATTTTTAATAAAAAATAATTATTTAAATTATATATTTTTTAAATTTTATAATATAGTTCTCAATTTTCAAGTTATAATAAAAATAATAGATTTTATAAAAATTTTTAAAAATATATTTAATTAATTATTTAATTTTTTTAAAAATAATTTCAATATTTTACTTTATAAAAATATTATTTTATATAAATATTCTATTAATAAAAAGTGAAAAATTATTATATTAAAAAATTATAATATAGTTAATTATTAAATAAATAAAAATATTAAATAAATAACTTTTTATCTTAAATTATTTTATATATTTTTTAAATTAAAAATTAAATTTTCTATTTAAAATTTTTTTATTAGTTATTAGTATTTATAAAACTAAATAAAATATAATTAAATATATTATTATAAATTATTTAATATTTTTTTATTTTATTTTAATTTATATACTAGTTAATTAAGTTTATTATATAAATATATAATCAAAATATTAAAAAGTAATCATTAAAAAAAATTTTTAATTCAATAGATATTATTTATAAATAATAAAAATAAATTTTTTTAAATTAAAAAAGTATAAAATATAATAAATATATTATTTTCTTTTAAAGTTAAATTTATTGAGAGAAAAATATATTAAAAAATATATTCTATATTATATCATGACTTAACTAAAGTCAGAATAATAATAAGATAAATAGCTTCAATTTATCTATTTAACTAGGCAGCTGCGATGAGAATATTAAACTGGAGATTAAAATATGAAATGAACAAGCAGCTAAATATGTAAAGATGATTGAAGATCAGATTAGATCAATCTTTAAAGCAGATATAATTAAAAATCATATCAGATCAATATGATTATAGCAAAGTAGATTAATTTTAATTTATATACAAGCAGCTGCGCTGTAACATATGTATACTTTCAGACCTGCTGCTGTTGCTTTTTTAATCTTAATTTCTGACTTTTGTAATTATTTTCTAGCCTTTAGAGCAGCAGCTTTTCTTAAGTTTTTTTTAATTCTTTCTATATTAATAAATCAGATATTTGAATCAACTTCTATCTTCTTTTTAATTTTTAACTTTTATAAAGTTTTTAATCGATTAGAGAGTTTAAAAATTATATTAATTAATAGCTTATAGAGCATTTAACTCATCAATCATTTTATTAACTTTGTAAAGAAAAATTTGCTATTTTATATAAAAATTTTTTCTTATTTAACTACTGTAGAATATTATATATATATTTAAAATTTCAAAAAATTATAAATATTACTAATTTAAAATTAAATTAACTTTAATCTTAAATCTGAAAGAAAATTAATTTCTTAAAAAAATTAAATGATATTAAATTAGCTGCTTCTTACTATTCATATATATTACAAAATTTTAAGATTTTTAGATATATTTATTTATAGATTTATTTAAATTTTCTTTCTTTCATAGAAGCTACATCATTCAAATAATTGAAAACAATAATCTCAGCTTTATAGTAACTTTTTATTAGTAAAAAAAACTTTAAAATTCAATAACTGAAGAATATAAAATATATAAATAGATAAAAATATTAAATAAATCAAATTTATATAATATTTTTATAGAAATTTAATAGTAATATGACTATTATAATTATTTATTATTAATAATCTATATTGAATTTTTTTAAATATTTAAGATAGAAAAATTATACAAATTAGTTAAAAGATATATATTATTTAATATTTATTCATTATATAATTTTATATAGATTTAATTAAATATATTTATATTTTTAAATAAGCTAAAATATATATTTTAATTTTGAAAAATAACTAAAGAGTTTATATAGTATTTATCAGCACTAATAACTTTAAGAATTGAAATTTACTTATAATTTAATAGAGATTTAATGTAGATTTTATTTTTTCTTTACTTAGCAAGTATTCTGATATTTATATATACTTCTAAAGTAATATTATACTCATTCATATTTTATATATTTTCAATGATTCTTTTATAAGTTTGTTATATCTTAGAAAAGTAGTTATAAAACTGTTAAAATATTTTCTACTGAGTATTCTTTAATTTTTAAGATTTAATTCTTCAGTCAATCACAGATAATTATCATAGAATTTTGTTCTAAAAACTTTCTTATTCAATTTTTACTTAGTTGAATGAGATTTCAATTCATTTATAAAATTTGAGTTGTTATTTCTCATACATATATGTGAGAGAATGAAAATTCTTGCAAATATTACTCTTTTATTCATTAAATTAGAAAGATCTTTTGCTCTGAAGTCAACTTTTATTGATGTTAATGAGTAATTGTTTGTTGAATGAAATCATTTTTTCTGCTTTTAATGTGTTATATGAGATGTTATATGCTTTAGCAGCAGCTCATTCAGATTGAAAAACATCATTTTCTTACATCCTCTATAGCAGCAGCTATAGCAGCTTCACTATTAGGCTTCATTTTAATAATGTGGTTGAGAAAACACGTGGTAAAGGTGGTGAGTTAGGTTTGGATAGAGTGGTTGAAAAAGGTCTGGTCAAAATATAGACCGGCTAGCTTAATAGCTATTTTAGAAGAGAGAGTTGAGTAATTAGTAACTCTCTTAGAGACCTTTTTAACTTTTGCTTCCTGGCAATTAACCCTCACACCTCCCATCAACATTCAAAAATATAAAATAACGTCATTATACTTTCTCAATACACTACAATGGCTATCAACAACGCAGAATCTCTCTCGAAAGTTTTGGCTAATAATCTCAATCTCCCTAATGAACCCAGCCCAGCAACCCTAGCCCTCCACGCTGATGATTCTGTCAACGTCCTCACAGATGTAGCCCCCCCATTGCACCTCTCAACCACCTTCAGATACTCTGACAACCCTGAGGACCTCATCCCCTGGTCTGACTCCACCGTATGTTCCAACCTACCTACCACGTCCCCAGAATCAAAAACACTGCAATGCCATTGTAGTTTAACAAACTGAACACCTCAT